TGTATGAGAGCTGGTGTTTCATGATATTTAACTCAGATCAAGGTGAAGCGTTTACATCCGGGCTCGTATTTACGCAGCAGAGAGTGGCAGCAGAAGATCACATTCTTCTGCAGACAGAATCACACAGAATCACAGAATATTGGGGGTTGGAAGGCACCTCTAGAGGTCATCCAGCCCAATCCCCTGCCAGGGCAGGGTCACCCAGGGAACGTCTCACGTGAATACGTCCAGGCAGGGTTTGGATGTCTCCAGGGAAGGAGATCCACCCCCTCTCTGGTCGAAATGTTTCTTTTTCTGGTGCTCACAGCTGGCTGCTGCTTCAGCATCTTTGGCTCCTCTGTCTTGGAGTCCTGTGGGTCCAGCCATGGTCCAGCCCCCAGGCTGGGAGCAAGCGGTGGGTCGGTGCCACAGCCCCTGTCTTCTCTGACCCCACATCTGTCCTCTTTTTGGGAGCTCCAGCATCGCCGAGGAGAGAAGGCGGGAGAAGATGTGAGGAGGTTGGGTGAGGCGCGGGGCCAGGGCTTGAGAGAAGGGGCTCAGTGGGGTGGGGAGGGGATGGAGCTGCCCTGGGAGCAGCACCCCCCTCTCAAGACAGTCTGGCCATGAACAGTGTCATGAGTGTGTCTGTTCTTAGCGCTCCACAGGGAGAGGCCTCCAGCTGCGTCTAGCTTGGATTGTCTGCGAGATGCCCGGGCCGTGCGCCTGGCTCAGCGCTCAGACATGCCAGGTTCTAAGGCAGGGACACAGAGCTGGTCACAGCAGCAAAACAGGAGCTGATCGGGAAATGGTGCAGCCGGCTATGGTGGACCTTGGTGGCCAGGTCACGACATAGTTTCGATAAACAGCAGGAAATACTAATTATACCTACAACGTGAGGTATCCTTCTATACTTACCCCATTGCTGCTTGGGAGAGATTTTGGAGTCATGGAATTAAAACAGGAGCCTGGGCTCAGCAGCGAGCTGGAGAGGCGGACACCTGAGCTGAGCCGCACGGTCCTTCTGGCTTTACATCCCGGACCTGCGGTGAAAAGCTGATGTCGCAGTATTGCATTTTCACCCGCCTGCAGTGGGGTTAGTAGCACTGGATTGTTTTTTACGTTGCTCGTGTTGGATTATTTCCCACATTTCTTCAGTTTGGGAGCAGGACGGTTTCTCTCATGGTGGGCTCTCGGGTGGTCGTGCAGACAGCCTGCTGCAGAGCCAGTTCCTCGCTCGCACTGGACTTTTGCAGATGGGGCAGTGTGTTCCTCAGCACCCCAACAGTTGCCTCACATTTTGATAACCCACTCCTTGTTGCCCTCTTTGAGCAGATGCTGACGGTGCTCCTGCCCAACTATGAAGCGCAGAGCGTTGTTTTGCTCAGGGAGCAGATTATAAACTGGTTTGTGGAGGCATGGACATCAGCTGCCTGACCTGGTATAGGTGGGCATGTTACCCTCCAAGAGCTGGCAAGGTTTTACAGATGATCCTGGGTTCAGTTGCATGGTGTCACATATGAGCTCATTTCCCTTTCCTAGGAGAGGAGATTCTGGATGTGACTCCTGCAGGATCCAGCTCTGGATCGGCTCCTGTGGATGCCGCTAGCTGTGACACGATCCCGTTGTGTCTCGTGAGTGGGTCTGGCAGGAAAAGCTGGTGCCTTTCAGCCCCCACCTGGGTCTCAGGTGACTTTCTGAAACATGTCTGTGTGCCTGCCAGATGGCTTCTCTGCCAGTAACATCAGCTGAAATCCTACCAAGAACCATTTTCCTTTAGCCCAGTTAACTCCAGGAGTCGGGCAGGGGCAGCTAGAGACTGGCCCTGTGTTCTGTGCCTCAGAAGGGCCCAGGGGCACCATCACTGGGGAAATTAGGAGGTGGGAAGCGGGCCTGAGGGGATGGCTTCAGCTTGCCAAAGCAAAGGTCCAAGCAAAGCAAAGGCACCTGGGACAGAGGGCTGATGCTCAGGGACTGGAGCTCTGACACCCCCCCAGAGTCCTGGGTGAAACTAGCCAGACCAACTGGAAACCAGTCCCTTGGGCATGGGACGGCTCGTCAGCGTCTCTGGGGGCTTTGCAGGAGCTGGGGACATGCTCTGGTGAGACACGCTTAGCAGCTGCCCTTCAGCCACCCACCCGCCCGCCTGTGGTCCCTGCTGTGCTCCCCCGTGTATCTCGCTGTTGGTGTGAGCTCACAGAACCAGAGTCACAGGGTGTTTTGGGTTGGAAGGGACCCTGAAGATCGTCTCGCTCCAACCCTGCTGCCGTGGGCAGGGACACCAGCTCCCTTAGGTGCAGTTTCACGTTCCCTCTGGGTGGGTGCTAACGATGTTCTGGATGGCCCCCCCCCAGCTCAGCCCACATCACCTGCTCCTCTTTGGCACTCGCCTCCTGCATCCTTTTTTCCCAGCCTTTACATGGTGTTTTATGATATGTTTTATGCTGAATTGTTGGCCTGTATCTCTGCTACATCCACGGCTTGAGACTGTTTCTCTGACATGAAGCCTGTCAGTTTTGGCAGAAAAAAAATAAAAAGATTTTGGCAGTTACTTCACGCAACTGCTGCATTCTTCCTCGGTGCTCCCAAATCTTCCTTTGCGCTTGTTCATCTTCTTCCATTGGCATTTTTTTTTTGCATTTGCTCATGCATAAATATTGGCGTGCTGCTCTCCTTGGACGCTCTTGCGAGAAGAACTCTTGGCTCTTCCCTGCTCCATCTGACGTTCCATCTTTGCGAATCCCATCGGGCTCTTCACAGTCTGTGGGCAGGCTCCTGTGGTTTCTGTCCTGCTAACAGGCTGACCCAAACTTGAAACCGGAGGGATACCTCTGGATACTTTGAGTTGGTGCTTCAGTAGGGAGAAATTGCAGTGCTTGGTGTCTGTCTCCTGGCACTTTGGCATTTTCTTCTCATCAGAAAGATCTTGAGGCATTTTCTAAGCTGCAGAAAACCTTACTTTTGACTGTGTTGAAATACCCTTTGGAAATGGTTTTAACTTCTTGCCCAGGCGGGAAGACTTTGTGAAAAATATATGGCAAAGCCGTAGTAAATCAGCTCAATTACAGATATAGATGGGTAAAATTAAATCGATATTCTGCTTCATTGCCAGTTGTGCTGTATGAATCCTTGCTAGGTTCAGTCAAGGAATGTAAGTGAAAAGGTTTATCCTAATTCATAATCTGTATCAAATCTGAGAGCACTATCAGTCAAAGCTGGTGAGATAGTGAGATAAACACAACTTGAGGTGGACTGGCCCATTTAAACATAAACCTCCCTTGTCTTAATAGCATAAAAAATGGAGTTTGAAGCGAAAGGGCATGATATTGAAAACCCTTTCTCTGATAAATAATTATTCCAAAGGCAATGGGATTTCTTCAGGAATGAGCATTACTGGAAAGAGGGAACTTGCAGGACTGGGCAAGAAAGTAGATTTCTTTTTTCCATCACCTAATAATAAAAGAAAAAAAAACCCCGACTGAAATGTATTTATAGTTTAATCATTGTATTTGGTAGGTGACCTACGCGCTTAGAGGTTGAATTCCTCAAGGCAGGGATTTGAGAAGTTGTTAAAGTCTGGACATAAATGATATGAGGCTTTTTGCAATTTTAAACTCTGAAAGAATGATTTGATTTATAAACTTCAAAGCTGAATTTCCCGGCGGCTCTGAGCACCATCCCCCCAGTGCCACGTTTTCCCCTTGTCACTGATGTCACTCGGTGCCGGTGTCTTCTGTGCTCGTTCCCGCTGCTGCCGGTTCTCACGGAGCTTTTCTCCCCCACGCAGGTCATAAACAACGCCTGGACCCCGCGGGGTGGTTTATCATGCAAGGATGTGCCCGCGCCCCCGCTGACCTGCCCGCCGTCCCCATCCCCGCCCGGCGCCATGGGAGGATGCTTCTCGAAGCCCAAACCAGGTGACTGCCCCGTCCCGCCGTCCCCGTGGCAAGAAGTAGGTCTCCGGCAGTGGACACTGGCTGGTGGAATGTTAATTCTCAGCTCCTGCGGGGAGGATTACCGGCCCGTTAATCCCCAAAAATTCCTCGGCGCTCCCTCTCCCGGGCAGGGAGCTGTGCAGGGCTCAGCGGTGGACGGGCAGGAGGAGCCCTGCAGCCCCATCCGAGAGCTGCTGGCTCTTCCCTTTCCTGTCTGGACATAAATGATATGAGGAGTTTTGCAATTTTAAACTTTGAAAGAGTGGTTGAATTGATAAACTTCACGGCTGAATTTCCCCGCGGCTCCCAGCACGGTGACCCCAACGCCACGTTTTCCCCTTGTCAGTGATGTGGCTGGGGGGCTCGGTGCTGCTCTCCCCGATGCCGGTTCTCATGGAGGTTGTATCCCCAGCACCCTCCCTGTTGCTGCCTCGCCGTGGTGCCTGGGGCAGAACTGCCCCTCTCAAGCCCTGCGGTGGGTCTGTGTGACTGCTGTCCCCATAGGGACGTGTGTGATGACCGTCCCCGTACAGACGTGAGTGGCTCCAGCACTTCCCTACTGCCCCAGCTTTGCCACTCACTGGCCAGCCCTTAATTTTGTCCCTTGCTGGAAGGAAATGACCAGGGAAGGAGCAGGAGCACTTTGATTTCGTGGTGCTTACTCCATCCCACCACCCAAGCCAGGTGCTGGGGCCCCTCTGCTCTCTGGGTTTCATTTTCGCAGTGAAGCTTGTCCACATCTGTTGCCTCTGGTGGGGCAAGCAGCTGCAGGCAGATGGGTGGCGAGGCTGTTCCTCTTGCCCTGCACGCTCTGGGCTGGGTGGGCTCCCTGCTCTTTGTGGTTGGGCGAAGGTGGGTGTAAGCAGAAGACAGAGGGCCTGCAGCAAGCTGGGAGGTCTGGTGTGAAAGTGCCAACGGTAAAGCCGTGTCCAGAGCAGCCCCCAGCAGCGTGATCCCGTGGTGGGCTGGGCTCTTCACACGCAGCGGCACCCCGGGGCCGCTCAGCAGGGACTGATGCTGGCACTGCCTTCGAGGAGAGTCCCTGTCCTGCAGCTTATTTTGGCCGCCTAAGAGCGGTCTGAAGGACCACCCTGGCCTTGTTACGTGCTGGTGCGCAAGGGCAGGGGGAAACAGATCGTCAGGCTGACCTGTGAGGTCAGCCAGCATCCAAAGGTAGCCTTCGTGGGTGGAAAAATGTCTTTTTGGGGGCCTTTATTGGCAATTTGTTTTCCTTGGCCCAGGCAGCGGGGACTGCAGGTTGAAGGACTCCAAAGGTCAGAGGGGCAAACAAGTCCTGTCTGCACGTGTCTGACCCACTGAGCAGCTGCCGAGTGAGGTCCCCTGCCCCTTCTTTGCGAGGCACACGGAGAAAACAAAGATGGTTTTCTGCCTTTGACCTGTGCTGAGATTATTTCATGGGGCATTGCAGCGCTGAGGGGATACAGCATCGGGGGCTGTGAGCTCTTAAGTCTTCTTTTGTGAAAACCCACACTGTTTATAGCCTTCTGTGAAATGTTTAAGGGGTGAAAAAGCATCCAGGAAGAAGTGCCTTTGTTGACTGAACTTGTAACTAACTCTGCTGGCAGTTCCACTTTACTGTGTGTACCATCAGCAAAATTGTGTTTAATCTTGGGCCGGTGGAGGAACAAAAGCGCTCGGCAGGCGTATTTCCTGAACTGCGGCTTTTCACGTAGAGCTGCATTTGCATAGCAGGGCCAAATGACTGAAAATGCCATCCTGTAGTGTAACGCTCTCGCTGCAGCTCTGGGCTTGATTAGCAGTCTTCAAAGGCTTTTGCTGAGCCTTGCCCCAGCCCCTGGTTCACAGACCACCGCCTGCCGTGCTTCGTCATCTCAGCATTTGGAAAACCTGCAAATGCAGAGAGGTAAACAGACGCGTTCGTAGATACCAGTTGTTCTGGCAAAGAGGTCTCGCAGCCTTTTAACAGTATTCACCCTTCTCGTTTCTCGTGGCAACGGTGCACCAGCACAGCTACGTGGTGGACTTTCCTATTTCTAAAAATCCACCTGCGTCCTGGGCGAACGGGAAAGAAATCGCGCAGGGACCGAACAGAGCTGTTTTCTCTGTAAGTGCTATTTTAACAAGAAGGGAATACTTCAGATGCAGCCTGAAGTCAACAGAATTTATTTAGAGATTTTGAAAGACATGTGTGAGGTCCTTGTCTGCTCTATCTTCTTATATCCACGAAAGACCCTGGGTGCTCCTGAGCACCGTCAGCATTTCTCGAGATAACCTTGATGCTGCACGCGTCCCAGGGAGGCCTTCTGAGGAGCAGATCACTGGTACGAGAGCTTTGGGGAGCGGAGTCCTGCGAGGGCCAGTAGCTCTGCCGGCTGTACTGGAGACCAGCCCCGATGCCTGGTGGCTGCTGCTGCAGGACCCGACCCCATTCAGTGCTTAATGTTCGAGCAGCGAGGTAATCTTCCGTTATCTCTAGTGCCGCAATCCCGTGATGCCGGATCCTCTTCTGAAGGCCCTGTTCTCCATCTCTGCATAATCTTTTTCCTCCTTTTTTTTTTTTTTTTTCCCTCCGGGTGCGTGGTGCATAGGCAATGAGCTGCCAGCTGGCAGAACGC